GCAAAAGGGTGAAAGGTGTTAGACAGAATCAGATCTCCTCTTTCCTTTCCCTCTCTGTAGAGCGAGGAAGCATTTTATAATTTCTCCCCCTTTCTCCTCATTAGAGGAACAATGTGCAATGACAGCCGCTTCTTCCAAAAATGTCTTTGGGAACATAGTGTTATTAGTCAAAATACTGGAGACTGCATGGTCTGGACAGGTTCTCATTTTAGGCCCACCCACTGTAATTTGGTGCCACCTGAGAGACAAGAACATCATTTATTAAGGAGCCTTAGTTTTTCTGTCTGCCATCTTTGCAGAATAAGATCTCAATCTTCTACTTGTTAAAGAAAGATACAAATAACATCTTGGCGAGAACTGTGAGCATATCTCAGATCTAGGTTTGCAGGTGAGTAACTTAAAGAGAGCAGCAAGATTATGACTGAAATAAGGGGAGCCTAAGACAGTTAGATATGCTAGAAATATCATAAGGAGTGCAATAGCTCGGTTGTTAAAGATGCATCATGTGAAGGGGTGAGTTCCTGTTATTTACCCCAGCTCCTGCCCACCTAGCAGTTTGACAGCATGTAAATGCAAGTAGATAAATAGGTACCACTTCAGTGGGAAAGTAACAGCCTTACCTGCACCTCGGCATATAGACATGCTGGCCACATGACCACAGAAATGTCTTTGGACAACACTGGCTCTCTTGGCTAAGAAACAGAGATGAGCACCTGCCTTCTAGAATCTGAAATGACTGGACGGGGGGGACTCTACAAAGAATATAATTCAAGTGGCAACAAAATATCTTATTTTTTTCTCACATTCTAATAGCCTTGTTACACCTTAGATTTCCACCCTTCAGGATATTCCCTTTCCTTCCTTTCCCACAACCCAAATTTCCATTTCTCTTCTCCAGTGAATCTTGGCTACTTTAGTTCTGACAGTTCTAGAATGCTCATGATTTGTATTTCTAAGAAGTAAAGGATATTTAGAGCTTGTAGCATTTCTTTCTCCCTACAGATAGTCCTCAATGTATGACCGTGACCATAATAGACACTGTTCATCATGACTGTAAGATGTAACAGTCATAAAATGGATTGGTCACTTGATTTTATGACCTTTTTTGCAGTGGTTGTTAAGTGAATCACCAGAGTCGTTAAATGAATTTGTGGTTGTTGGTTTTCTATGGGGACGATTTTGCCCAAAACCAGAATTGCTGGCTTTGGATAAAACTATAGTAAAGTGCAGTCACATGACTGCAGGACACTACAAACAGCAATACATGCCAAGCACATGAAGTTCAGTTCTGTGACAGTGCAGGGGGCTGTCACAGATGGAAAGTTGACTCCAAGTCATAACTATTCCCAAGGTAGGTCCATTGTAACATCGAACATTCAGCTAAGCATATGTCGAGGATTACCTGTATAAATTCATTTTATGAGTTGTTTTGGATATTTTTTTCCATTTTGTAAGGCTTTTCTGATGTTTAGAAATACCTCCCAGAGCGCCATCTCCCACCTGCACCCCTGACCATAATATTTCCAACTGTAGTTTCTTTGTTACTCCATTTCTGTTGGCGCTTTATCTAATGTGTTGGTAGAAGAGATAATGATGATAAAAATGTTTGTATATTCAGCTTGCCTGTTGTATGTCTATTACCATCAGCATTTGTGTGGTTTATTTTTGTTGCGGCCTTTGGCCTAGTAAGATATAATGACTACCGTATATGTCTTCATAAAACTGCGGTTTTATTTATAACAGTTGCTTTTCAGTAAATAAGCTTTCGAGTCAATAAGTGAGCACTGTTTTCGCTGGGGCAAGCAGATATCTCAGGATGGAGAACTAGCAGGTAACTAGCCAAAATATAATTGACCAAAGCTTTTCACTGAACAATTTAATTCAAGGAAGGGGGACAAGCTTGGATTCCTGAGAAGTTAATGTATATCATTTATTCTCTGGATAGAAATAAAATATGAGCATTGTACAGCGAGCTAAAACATTTCTTTCACACAACAGATGTTTCTGCCTGTTGCCAATATTTCCTGAAAAAAACATATTTGCAAACAGCACAAAGAGATCTCCCCAAAATTAACCTAGTCTATAAGTGACAAGTATGGGTAGAACCTGGAAAGGTTTAAATAAAGTACAAAATAATAAAGATTTCTATTGGCTTTCAAGAAGTTTTGTTTGTTTTATTTCAGTGAAACACTTGAAATTATTACTTTGTTTTAAGAGACTCATTCAGGGGAGATTGTGTCTGTTATTCAAGATTGTCCGTTAAATCTGAAATTAGGTAATCATGGTGAGTACGACATTGGGGTAATGTATTCTTTAAGCAAATGATTCAAATTGTGCGTTATTATGTCACTTTGGCGATGAGGCCATTATACAAATATCGCTATTCACACCATTTGTGCCAGTTTATGTCATTATACAAATTACGGAAATTGAGGCAAAGTGCTGTAATTTTCATCATGTGCTTAATGCCAACATTGTGTAGTTTAGGTTATTCATAGTGAGATTTTGATAATTTGAATGCAACGTTTGTTTTATAAATCTGGGAAAATAAAATTCTTCCTGTCTGATTCTATGCTGCAATTTTCCCTTGATGGAATACAAGAAGATTTTTGCTTTAAGAAATACCTCCTCCTCCTCCTCCTCCTCCTCCTCCTCCTCCTCCTCCTCCTCCTCCTCCTCCTCCTCCTCCTCCTCCTCATTACTATTTCTATTTCTATTTCTATTACTATTTGGCTTGAAATGTTACACTGCTTATCCGAGTAGCTTCTTCAGTCTGAACCAGAGTGAAGAAGCTTTTTGGATAAACAACAAAATGTTTCAAATAAAAAAAGAAAAGAACTCCAGTTGCTGTGATTCATCTTCCAGGCAACTCTATCTGGATGACTGAGAATCTTGATTGACATATTGCCACACACTTAGGGGAAGAAACCCAGAGGTCGGGTCGGGTATATGAAAAAGCAGCATGCCTATTATTGGTCATTTTAAAAAAATGAAAATAAAACCAGATAAATACTCTATTCTTACATACTCACAGAATAATTTTATGAAGCTTTACTCTTGGTTGGAAACTCCAAGTATGCTTTCCCACTAAAAATACTACCTATTTCTATTTTGTCTGCAGTTGCAGGAGTGGGGTGGGGAGATAGATAAGACTGGTACTTAGAAAGGAAAACTTTATAGGAGAAAGAATTTGAAAAAAAAATCCCTTAGGAGTCTTGGGGCTTTTTGCTGCTGCTTTAGCCCGAAAATAGCAGTGGTCAATACTAAGTGCACTTTTTAACATTGCCACTTAATTCCTAACATCAAGAATTGGTAGCTCTTCTTTCATTGCTCCCTTGGCCTTCCAAAATCACGTTTCCAAAATCTGATGGCCAAAGGCTGCAATTAAGCCAGCCTTGTTTCCATCGTTTTTGAACTAAAATAACAGCAGGACTAGGAGACTCCTTTAAGTTTTGATCAATTGTTTTGTTTTAAAAACTTCAGAGACTCAACAAATTTCAGCAAAAAACATCAATTTCTTGTCTTCACCCAAGAGGTTGCCAAAATGGAGGAAAGATTGCCTTCTTCCCAGCAAAAATGCATTGTTTTTCTGGGGTCATCTTATTTTATCCAAGAGAAGGTGCCGATATTGTGAAGGCAAATCCAACAGTTTGATTATGTATTATTATATTATATTATTATATTACCATAATGAAGGAATGCAATACAAGTCAAACTGGCTAGTTCCAAATTGTAATTATTACATAGAGTAGTTAAGTTGTCATTAAATTAACTGTGGTTATTCTCTGAAAGAATGCACACCTAGAAATATAAATGCATTTCTCTTTGGATCTGCTAAATTAGTATATCAACAGTTTTCACTTCTTTGTAACATTTGAATATTGCAAGGAAACATACTGTATGCTATTATGTTGTAATGCCTTTAAATATTTTCAAATGTCCATAAAGTTTGGATGTCACTTGCTCAAAACATCCAGTTATTGAATCCTCTTTATGTCCACTGGACTCTGTAAAACATTTCCACACTTGTGAAGAATTGCATGATTAGTCAGATTTTATTAGTCTTATAATCAGGAAAATAGATATGGAATTATAGATGAGGAGAGCTTTTTTTAGTGCAGTACTATAACTACTCAGAAGTAGGTTTTATTAACTTGAGTGGAACTTAAGAGATTCTATAGGCTTTGAACCAAAAAGCAAGCAAATCAATAGCTATTCCTAGTTGAAGCAATTATTTTAGGATTAGGTCAGATAGGTGTATTTACTATGGAGTAATCCACATAAATGAAGTTACCATTACTGACAGATAAATCTGTCACATTAAAAGCAGGACATGGACTAGGGTTTTACACTTTGATTTGACTTGTTACTCCGACTTTGGTGTAGGTGGACCGATGGTGTCATGTTCTCTGCATTTTTCTTGGAAAGGTGAAGATCAAAAGATACACCCCAGTATAAAAAAGATGTTGGGACTCTAAAAACAGTGCAGAGAAGAGCAACAAAGATAATTAGGGGACTGGAGGCTAAAACATATGAAGAACTATTGCAAGAATTGTGTATGTCTAGTCTAATGAAAAGAAGAATTAAGGGTGACATGATAATTGTTTTCCAATATTTGAGGGGCTCCTATAAAGACAAGGGGGTCAAAATATTTTCCAAAGCAGATGAGAAACAATGGATGAAAATTAACCAAGGAGAGAAGCAACCTAGAACTAAGGAGGAATTTCCTAACAGTGAGAGCAATCAACCAATGGAACAATCTGCCTTCAGAAGCTGTGGGTGCTCCATCACTAGAGGCTTTCAAAAAGAGACTGGGCAATCATTTATCTGAAATGGTATATTTTCTCTTGTTTGAGCGGGAGTTGGACTAGAAGACCTCCAAGGTCCCTTGCAACTCTATTCTATGTTTTATGTTCTAGAGCTGGGCAAAATCCTGTGAAGGCAGCTAGCCACCAGATGCTGGAAGCTCATAAGCAGGATCTGAACATAGATAGCCTTCTTAATATCTTGCACTGAAATATGCACGCAAATACCACCTCTCCTCCCTAGATATAAACCCAGGTTCTGTGCATTATAAGAGTTTTTATAAGGAACGAGTTGGTACTATTTTCTTTCCTTAAGTAAAATTCTTAATTACTGAGAAATGTGCAGGAGTTAAATGACATTATTGTCTTGCAGCGCATTCATTAAACCAAGCCATCTCATGTGAAATATCACAGGGAGTTCTTTGTCCATTAATCAAGGCTGTACACTGGATCAATCTTATTTAGAGTATTATTGGTCCTGGGCAATAAGAACTCTCCCCACTAAGATTGATTCACAAGCACTTCACTTTTTTTTCAACACTTCCAAAAGATTTATTGTTCTACTGTTTTTTCCCTGCTTTGTTACAATTTCTTTCTCACTTCCCCCTCCGACTTTGGGGTAGGTGGACCGATGGTGCTGTATTCCCTGTGTTTCCTTCTCAGAAGGGTGAAGAGCAAAAGATCATTTTGACCTTTACAAGCACAATGTTTTGATTTGTTGGCCGTCACATCTTTTTCTGCTCTACAGTTGTCAACAGCCTGTGGAAACAGTGGAATGAGATTCAGTCAGTCATTAATTATCAGTGACACAAACACACCTGTGCAGCCCAATACAAATAAGCTCCATGAACATTTTGGATCCTTCATTATTCTTTCATGACCACAGCCAAACAAGAATGATAAAGCACTTCCTATTCCATTCATAAGTGCCAAGGCATAGGCCATAATGGTCTACAAATGCAATCATTTAGGTTACAATCCCCATCCCCCCCAAAAAAACGTGTGTGTGAACATGCACTATTATTTTCAGCCCAAATCAATCCATTGCGGAATGAAGAACCTTTCACTGGATGTTGTGGGCCACAATCTACCACACTGATCCTATGTGTAATGTAAGATAGAAGCATTTCAACTTCCTGGTTGAAGGCTGGGAGCAGTGAGTGATCCAAGGACAGCCAAGCATTAGACCCTATGTCTCTCTATTCCTAGTGTAGCACCTTAATCACTACATTCCATCTCTCTCTCTCTCTCTCTCTCTCTCTCTCTCTCTCTCTCTCTCTCTCTCTGTGTGCATGCATATAAATGCATTGAATTTGACTGAATTCTAAAATTCAAGGGCTGTCACATGATAATGTGGCTTTATAAAGCAGGATCTTTTCAACATGATCAGAATTAATTTGGTATGAACATTTGACTTCACAACTTCATGTTAACCCCCTCCCCCATTTCTTTTAGGATTTATTTTTCTATAAAAAATAGTTTGAGGGGAAAAAAGGAGTTGAGGATGTAGCCTTTAATCATCAGGCTTGAAATTTCAGAAGCTTTCCAGTCATGTTGGTCTGAGACAACAGTTGCACATTCAATTAAACTTTGATTTTCCTAGTCATTGAAGACAGATTTTATAGCAGAATTGATCAAATTGTACCGTAGTTTATGGCATTTACTGAAATGTTGCCTCTTCAATTTACTGGACCTTTATTAATAATTGAAGCTCTCCCTCTTTGTTAAACCTGTTAAAATAAAGTTGCATTGTGTTACTTATTTATTCTGCCCGTTTTTTTTAAAAAAGTATAAAAACTTTCCTTTCTTTAAAAAATTGAGAAGCATGGAAATTTACCTGCAAAATCTGTACCCCTTCTTACATAACTTTCTTTTTAAAAAAAAAAATAACCAAAGTAAATTTTCACAATGTCTTTCTGCTCTTGGGGGAAATAATCTTTCAATTCTGTATTTCAAAAGGTTTTTTGCATGGTTCTTGCACCTTTTCCCCATGTTTGCCTGACATTTGGGAGATTTTTCTCCAAAAGGAGAAAATTCACTGTTAAACTAATAGTCACTTTTGGGGTTTAGTAGAAGCAAAAATAATTTAAAGAAGTTTACTGCATGCCTACAACTGCTGAATTCCCTTGGATGGCAGTCAATGCCTGTATATTTTATCCCATTCTTTCTGATTTTTTTTTTAAATACAGTTTTTATTTATCTCCATAGTTGGTGAATAGGAGAAATGGTGTTTGGGATTTGCAAATATTGCTTTTGACTCAGACTTGAAGTTGAAGCTCTAATTCAGGCGTCATGCCGAAACCGTGCCCACCCCATTGCCGGTAATGGGAAAAAAGTCCCGATACGTTGTGTGACATCACGTGACGTCACGCGACGTTACATGACGTCGTGAGTTTGGCATGCCTATAGCAAGTAGAAGTAACAATTTGCATGGTCAGAAACAAAATACTGAAGTTGATGGCCAGCTGTTTTTTTCACCAAATATACTTTTTGGTCCTATCTTCAAATTATGAGCAAATATGACTTGCATTTTGGAAGGGCTTCTGATGTTAAAAAGGCAATGCAATTGTAGGCCTTATTAATAGAAGGATAGAAACGAGAGCATGTGAAGTGTTAATTTCACCTTATAATACCTTAGTGAGACCATACCTGGAAAATTGTATCCAGGTTTGGTCGCACTCTGGAAAGAGTGCAGAGAAGAGCCAACAAAGATGATTTGGGGGGGGGAATGCTAAACTATACGAAGAATGGTTGCAGGGATTGGGTTTGTCTAGTCTGGTGAAAAGAAGGACTAGGGGTGACATGATAGGTTTGAATACTTGAGAGATTGCCATAAAGAAGAAGGGGTCAACTTATTTTCCAAAGCACCTGTACATAGGACAAGAAGCAATGGATAGAAACTAATCAGGAAGAGAAGCAACCCAGAACTAAGGAGAAATTTCCTGACAGTGAGAACAATGGCTTGTCTTCAGAAATTGTGGGTGCTCCATCACTGGAGATTTTTAAGAAGAGATTGGACAACCATTTGTCTGGAATAGTACAGGGTCTCCTGCTTATGCAGATGGTTGGACTAGCAGATCTTGAAGGTCCCTTCCAACTCTGTTATTCTGTTATATACACAAAATTGTTTTTTATACACTAAATCATCAATGGCAATTATCTATGATGTTTATGGAGCATCACTACTGGAGAAAGATGACTTTAAATCCTGCTTATGAATTTCCAAAAAGCACTTGCATCTCTGAGAAATTGGTTGTTGCACCTGATGTGTTTTCAGGATTAGCCATCCAGATATTTTAGAGAAGGGGCTAAGATGTCCTGATGCAATAGGTGTCTAGCATTTCAGCAGAACCTTTCATACATGTTCAGATAAGAAGTCACTTCCTCACTTGACTTGTTTCAGTTGTACTGGGTTTTAATTCCTCTAATGCACAGCCAACTGAGTCATTTGGAACCAATCTCAATACTGTATAACTGAAGAGCGCTGGAGTGAGATAGTTAGCTGATGGCAGTATTATTTCTACTACTTAAAGTTAGGACTTAATATTCTAATCTTTAGCTGCCTCTGGCATGCTTAAATATTGCAAACTGTTTCTTTGTGCCTATTATCAAATCAGCCAGTCTTATAATGGAGCCAGATGGCTCTTCCTTTGATTGGAATGAAATCACACCACTTAGTACATTTGAAAATTCTTACACAGGGTGTATGGGACAATCATCCACCCTGTTTTTTAACAACAACAGCAACAGCACTTAATTTTCTTCATTTTTGTATGTGGTTTATTTGATTTTTGGAAAGGAAGGGAAGCGAAAGGGAAGGGAAAGGAGAAAAGAAGGGGAGGGAAAGGAGAAAGGAAGGAGAGGGAAAGGAAAGGAGAAAGGAAGGGAAGCAAAACAAGTACAGGAGAACTGATGCTGGGAGGAAAGACAGCAAAAGAAAACAAACATTAGCTTAATGCTAAAAGAGATATCTTTTTAACTCATTTCAGAGGTACAAAAGAAACTTCCTTGAAATGTCTTTATATATGCAGACAAAAATGAGTGCAAACTCTACCTTTAATTACTTGAAGGTTTGTGTAGGAGTAATTATAAAGAAAAAGAAAAAGAAAGCAGGTACCATAATATTCAAATAAGTCTAATTTGTGATTCAGTATTTGGTAACTGGAATAGGTTAGGTTAGTTTAAAAGCCAAAACAGCAGTCTTCTTTCAGGAAAACAAGAAACATTTCCCACTGGTTTGATAAGCATTCATTTGTCATCTTCACTGTGACTTAAAATCATTTTAAAATCTCAGAAAGGCTTTGAAAATTGTGAAAACAATTGGAATCTAATTCTGGTGGATTGCATGGTACTTAATATTTTCAACATTCTCACTGGAAATCTAATGAAGAAAAAGTAATATATGCTTTACAGAATTAAAGTTTAAAGGTCCCCGCTACAAACTGCTAGCTTCTCTGTCTTTCATTTCATGTACTTATGCAAATATTTATGGCTCTTTTTAAAAGAACACGAGCAGGGGAAATGTAGCTTAGCTTGATGCCAAATTTTCAGAAATGCATATACTTTGATCATAAAGGGAATAATCCCAAAACTATTTTATTTCCAACTGTGTGAAAATTTGGATGTTGACCTGAACAAGCTTGGATAATGGTTATTAACATAGTCAATATGAGTAAATATACATGAGCAATTTGATAGGGTCTCAACTTTCAATGTCTCCTCTATTGTTACACATATTTTTTTTCAAACTTTTTTCTAGCTATAATATTAATTACAACTTTTCCATAACGTTTTGCTTTTAGTATTACAATAATTCTGCATATTTCAGATCAGTAGTTTTATTATTCTGTTAGTCTCAACAATCATTTATTTTGCTTATATATATTGCATCATACTTTACTATATTAATTTTTACCCCACAAATTTTTAAACTTTAACTTATCATTTTGGTCGTTAGTGTTAGTGTTTATAGCTTATTTTACTTTAATCAGTTGTGACTCTTAGTTTTGCTGGTCAGTGACCAAAATAAAATGACTGATTGACTGATTGGCCATTGGGATTTTCCTTGTTCATTAAATTCACATTTTCTATGAACATTCACGGGGCAAGAGAAGTCATGGAGCTGGTGTAGGGAGCCTCACAAGATCCTATTCTAGGAATATCCCATATCTAGTCCAATGTCAATACTCTGAAATTATATGAGGGGATCCCTGCCAGATCAAACCAAAGCAAGGTCTGATCCAGGATTTTATGTGCTCTTATGGCCAGCCAACAAAACGGGGAGGCAAAAGATCTCTGTTGCTCTTTAGCAACCAACTGCCTATAATCCTGGAGATGGTATCAATCTATCGAAAGCAGAAACATTGACAGCCTTGTCCAGTCCCCTTTGAATCATATAATCTAGGGGATTTCAAAACATCTGATGGCAGTTCACAGATTCTATTTATTCAGTTTTGAATTTTGTGTTATTTTTTTCATAGCCCCCTCCTCATTTGAATTAATTTAATTCCCAGCATAAGGAAAAATGGACAAGGTTTTTCTATTTGTGTATACATATACAGACACATATCTGTGTCCCCAAAGATGCTTTTTCACGAGGCAATTGGACTTTCTTGTTTTTCTCTTTGAAAACGTTTCGCTTCTCATCCAAGAAGCTTCTTCAGCTCTGACTGGATGGTGGAGAATGGAAGGATTTATATTCCTTGCAGACAGTTGGTCATTTGCATTCTTTTAAAGAGTCATTGAGGCCACTTGGGAGTTTGTCTGTGTCCTCAGGGTCATCTGAGCAATGCAAATGAGTGTGGGGCCTTCTTGGAACTGTTGAAAGGAGTGTGTTGTATATCCAGTCGTCTCCAAGGAATATAAATCCTTCCATTCTCCACCATCCAGTCAGAGCTGAAGAAGCTTCTTGGATGAGAAGCAAAACGTCTTCAAAGAAAAAACAAGAAAGTCCAGTTGCCTCGTGAAAAAGCATCTTTGGGACACCTATGCCCTGGATGACTGAGAATCTCCATAGATATACTGTATGTCTGTGTGTTTTAATGTACTGAATGAATAGCTAAAGTCTGCTGCCCTAATTGTTGAATTACTTTTTAGTCTTTCAACACACCTGTTTTAAAAGAGATATGAAAGTTAAGGGAAAACCATTGCCTGGAAATGAAAACAATTGAATTGGGTTTCTTGGTTGTTCCCATTTGAACATTTGAGTTCTTGCCATGAATGCCCTTCTGAACACTATGGCATTCAAATATAGACGGGAGGCTGAATAATGTGCTGCATAGCAGTACTATTCAGTTTTGTCAACGGTGACCCCAAAGTCAAGAGAATGACTTGAGTTAGGGGAACAGCTAGATGCTTTCCTTTGTGTAACCTGGATGCCAAATTTAAAGATAAAAGTGAGGGTCTTTTCTGTGGTACAAAAGAAATGCAATGAAGCACTGGATAGGCATTGGATATGTCTGGAAACCAACTGGTAAGAGGACTGTGATCATTGGTGCTTATATGATGCTTCTCTGTCTAGAAAAATCATATGGTTGAAGTAAAGTAAATAGCTTGAGAATGAGTGAAAAAAAATTGGTTCAACAAAGCTTCTCTTCCTTATTACCAGTGGTGGGATTCAGCCAGTTTGCACCAGTTTGGCCCGAACAGTAGCTAATTTTTTGTTGCCCAGGCCCAGAATGGACTTCTGGAAATGGCATCCACACAGAGAACCTGTTGTTCATATATTTGAATCCCACCACTGCTTATTACTACATGTCTAATTTACCATAAGTATATTTGCATTAAAACCCAAATCAGTCAGTGTGCATATTCCACTCCCAAATAATCCATATTCTATGCAAAAAAATGTTCTGTACAAAATTTGCCATGTACAAATTTTCTCTAATTTTCCATAATTTTTACAGCAGCCTTTGTTTTGGGAAAGAAAAGGATCTATGCAGGATACCTAGACTACACCTCCAGCTTCTGACAATGTGAGGTTGTATCCACGCTGACTTTGGGATAAATCTCACCCAATATATTACTAAACATGGGTTGGTTGGTATGCTACATTTATGCTAACTCAGTAACTGCTGTCCTTATCTTCTAAACAATACCGTTTACCTATGGTTGAAGTTTTCCTACAATTACATTGTCCCTCACTGCAAAAAATAGGTCTCCTTTCATCTCAAGCTAGAAAAAAAAATCAGCAATTACTAATACTTTATTATATTTTGAGAGACAAATGCACACTTATTGTGACTACCTCTTCTACTAATTGTATCGTCCAAGGTGGCAATTTATTCTTACATGTCTAGTTCTTGGAGAAATTTCAAAAAAATATAGGAGTTGTCAGCACATAAGAATCACACACATTCGTGCTGCACTTCAGCCATTCATAATGACACCAAAATGTGCACTCACTTGTTTGGCATTAATTTAATGTCCCACTTAACTTCTATCAGATGCAAATAGCTGCCTCATCCGTTTAAGAGTTTCCGAGTGTGCATATAATGAAGTGCTCTGTACCTGTCAAGGAAGCAGAATTCATAACTGAAATCAGGAATGGATGAGGAAATTTACTGTCTTTCTTGCCAAAGAAAATGGAAACCTCCAAGCTGGCAGTGTCAAATTTATAACTCGGGTTGGCTTTCTTTTGCAAGCTTTTTGCTCCTCTTACTCTTAGCACTAAGAGGGTGCTTGTGGATGAATATCTCCATAGATATACTGTATGTCTCTGTGTTTTAATGTACTGAATGAATACCTAAAGTCTGCTGCCCTAATTAGTAATAGTAGTAAAGTTGGAAGGGACCTTGGAGGTCATCTAGTCCAACCCCCTGCTCAGGCAGGAAACCCTACACCATTTCAGACAAATGGCTGTCCAGTCTCTTCTTAAAAACTTCCAGTGTTGGAGCATTTACTGCTTCTGGAGGCAGGTTGTTCCACTGATTAATTGTTCTCACTGTCAGGAAGTTTCTCCTTAGTTCTAGGTTGCTTCTCTCCTTGATTAGTTTCCACCCGTTGCTTCTTGTCCTGCCTTCAGGTGCTTTGGAAAATAGCTTAATTCCCTCTTCTTTATGGCAGCCCCTGAGATATTGGAATACTGCTATCATGTCCCCCCTTGTCCTTCTCTTCGTTAAACTAGACATACCCAATTCTAGCAACCGTTCCTTATATGTTTTAGCCTCCAGTCCCCTAATCATCTTTGTTGAGTTACTTTTTAGTTTTTCAACCCACCTGTTTTAAAAGAGATGTGAAAGTTAAGGGGAAACCATTGGCTGGAAATGAAAACAATTGAGTTGGGTTTGAACATTTGAGTTCTTGCCATGAATGACCTTTTGAACTCTATGGCGTTCAAATATAGACGGGAGGCTGAATAATGTGCTGCATAGCACATTTGAATATAAATGTTTCAATCCATTTCTAAAAACAAAATTAGCATGTGACAACTATTATTATCATACACTAATTAAAGTAAAATAATTTAGGCACCCCACCTCTGGTATTTAAGTTGATTTTACATCTTGTGTTTCCTTTAAAAAAAAAAACCACTGTTTAATTTTAAACAGTGTTCTATTTATGATCAGACTCCCTGGAGAAAGATTTTTATGAGCATAAATGAAGATAATGACGATCATTAGTCACTGCCATTAGGATAAAGCATTAGATCTTTTATGCCATTCATAACAGGCCATGACATGAGAGTAAAAATATGACTTCCCATCATGGGTGCCTGCTTATTGACTGCAGTTGGTTGCTATTTTACCCAGCTCAACTGAAATCAAAAGGGTGGTAAGAGTGGAATTTAATAGCGTGTTCATCATCATGTCTAATTGTTTCCCACCAGAGGGTATGAAGCTTTATGTTCACGATCAACCAAAAACAAAGAGCCATCCTGCTTAATGGCTGCTCAATTAATGTTTATGGTTCTACTTTTATACCCTGAGTTATTTGACAAATAAACTCCAATAAGCAATTTAAGAACCTCTGAAGCTTAATGATAAGCCAACTGATATTTAAAAAGAAAAAAAATCTGATAAGGAATTCTTTATTGAAAGAAAATCTTTGAGATTTGGCATCTCTCTCTCTCTCTCTCTCTCTCTCTCTCTCTCTCTCTCTCTCTCTCTCTCTCTCTCTCTCTCTCCCTCCCTCCCTCCCTCCCTCCCTCCCTCCCTCCCTCCCTCCCTCCCTTATTCTATCAATGGTCAGAATTGGCTTTGAAGACAACTTTTCTCGATTCCTTATGGCGTTCCTGAAATAGTTAAGTGAAATAGAAGGGATTCTGTTGTGAATTACAAATATCAAATGGAAATGCTAAATTCACCAGAGTGAATTTCCTTAAAATATTTCTAGGATGCCTTTAAGGAGGGGGAAAAACATATCTTATAAGGATAAAATACTGTAAAGAGGTGTAAGAATAAAGCATAATAATAATAAAACCCTGATCAAAAGCCAAGATGCCAGCATTTAATTCTTCCTACTATCACACTAAAATCAGATGAATCTAGGGTTAGTAACTTAGTTTGGGGTAATAAAAGGAAGGCTTGGCAGAAGGGCCATCTGGGGTTGGTTACAACCCCAGATAGCAGCCTGGTCTGCATGAAGGAGGCAAAGGCAAGAAACATTTTCTTCCTTGTAGCAAAAGAGTTTAACTGCCCTGCAGGAATGCCTATGAGAATGGCATCACTTCCTGCAGGTAGGACTTTAAGCAACTGGGTCACAAATTTATTGAGCCCCTATAAGTAGGAACCAATTCTCTCAACTGTCCAGCACAGTGAACTTTCACATTCTCTGACTCTTGCCTTTTGGAGCCTAACAAGCAACAAGTTTTGAAAAAAAAGATCCAGATCAATTCCTACAGTAATAATAAATACAAGAAAAAGACAAAATACATCATAGAAAGATAGAGGACTTGCTTCTCCTAGCTGACTGGTACTCCAGAAAAATTTCTTTGCTGTGTGGTGGTCACTGAGACTGCTTCTCCTGCTGGTTTTCCTGGTTACACATGAGACAACCAGGACATTTGCTCACCTGGGTCTGCTTACCCATCACTCTCCACATTCTTCAGCCACTGACTTCTCACTACCTTCCTCCTGCTCCTGCCTGATGGTCAATGTGACTACCTGGTTACTCATGTGCCTACTGTCCTGGCCAATCACTCTCATGGTTTCTCTTCTCCATTTCCTTTTTCAGCCTGGTGCTTTCCCACATGGTGTGCTGAAAGTTTGCAAAAATAAGGTAAAAAAAGGTGTTGGGTGAAAAGGCCCCCAATCCATGCCCCATCTGGAGTTTGCTTCATACATTAACTTTGGGGGGTCCTTGGTGCTCTCTGAACTTGGTTGTTTTCTGATGATATTACCCAGTTTGAGTAAGGAACATTTGCATCCAAACAACCACATCCAGAGAGCACTAATGACCCCTCATTTCAACCCTGAGCTACAATGTTTTCCTTTGTTGATATGTTAACCTTGACCTGTGATAAATGAGTGGAAAAGAAAGCTACCTGCATATTAGTGATCCATATACCTAAACTCTTTTCTCTCCTTCTGTTCAATCATGTCTAATTCTGAGAAAGTGCCTGGACAAGCCTCTATAGTTTTCCTAGGAAGGTTCTTCACGAGTGGTTTGCCATTGCCTCCTTCCTAGGGCTGAGACAGAATGACTTGCCCAAGGTCACTCAACTGGCTTTCATGCCTATGATGGGACTAGCACTCCTGATTTTCTGGTTTCTAGCCTGATGTCTTAATCACTACACCAAACTGGCTGTCATTTCTAAGCTATCCTCTAGCAATTTACTGTAGGGGATAGAAGCATGGGGACAAATTGCTCTTTATCAAGTGAATGATCCATAATTCAGCCCCCTCTTCTGTTTTAGCAGTTACATTAATTAAAAATAAGAGTTCAGAGAAGGTCTCCCTGCTACTGCTTGGGTGCCTATTAATTCAACATTCCTCTTCTTTGAGATCTTAGGAAGCTATGCATATATGTAAAAAATACCAGCAATAATAAGCTTTGAATGAAGAGGTTCCACTGCAGATTCTGAACGTGTCGGATTTCTAGTCAATGTTGCTAATTGTGTAGAACATTAATGCAGTCATCCAAAATATTTTAATTCAGTCTCCCTGATCTTTGATTTCTCATATTATATTACAAGACTCTGCTGCTCCAGCACCAAGGCCATTAGTCATTGATATTCTGGTGTCCCCCAAAATAACTGGACAGAATTAGACAAGGAAAGAACAAGACTTGAAAGATGACTAAATTCTTATCAGAAATTACATGTATTTTTATCTCCCTAGTCCTTCTAGACTAGGGATATTAGAATATTGTAATCTATTTTAACGTTTAAATAGAGTATTTAAGACTACTATAACCATATATTACTATTTCTCTGTAATCTTGCAGATCACAGGACCTGTTCTTCATCAGAGACAAATGAGATAGCATGTTTTTAAAAGCCGTTTTTTAGAAGATTCTTCTCAAGAAAGCGGCAGAGCTGTGATAAAGGAATTACTTGACCAGTTGATCTTAGGTGCAGCAGGCCCCTGATGAAGAGGCAAAAACTCATTTTGCTGGTCTTACCATCTCTTTATTAAAAATGATTATGGATAAATAAGCTATTGATTCAGTAATTTTTTAAAAAAATATTACTACCATTGTCAAATTACTATACAACCAAAGATCTTTGGGGGAAATACAAAACATTTTTATTTCTCATGTGATATCCTCCTTATTCAAACATGCACGGATATGGGGTGCATTAAAATGAGCAAAATAGCAGATGTGGAATTGTGATCCAACCCTCTCCTTTTGCATATTTTTAGAATAGAATAGAGCTGGAAGAGACCTTGGAGGTCTTCTAGTCCAGCGCCCTGGTTAAGCAGGAGAACCTATTCCATCTCAGACAAGTGACTGTCTAGCCTCTTCTTAAAAATCTCCAGTAATGGAGCGCCCACGTTTTCTGCAGGCAATCTGTTCCACTGGTTAATTGTCCTCACTGCCAGGAAGTTTCTCCTTAATTCTAGGTTGCTTCTTTGTTTGATCAGTTTCCAACCATTGTTTCTCATCCTTCCCTCTGGTGCTTCGGTGAATAAAGTGACCCCCTCTTCTATGTGACAGCCCCTCAAATACTGGAATACTGCTATCATGTCTCCCCTATTTCTTCTTTTCTTTAGACTAGCCAAACCCAAGTCCTGCAGCCGTTCTTCATATATTTTAGTCTCCAGGCCTTTGATCATCTTGGTTGCTCTTCTCTGATTTTTTTCCAAACTCTCAACATCTTTTTTGTGATATGGTGACCAAAATTGGCTGCAGTATTCCAAGTGTGGTCTTACTAGGGTTTTATAAAGTGATACTAATACTTTGCGTGATCTTGATTCTATGCTTCTCTTTATGCAACCCAGGACTGTATTAGCTTTTTTTTGGCTGTTGCACAGATATGAATGTGTCACCACTATATATACAAACAAAAAGAAGGCAACTTGCATTATTATGTCACACCCATCATTGTATAGATTTTGCTGCCCTCT